TTGCAATGGTATTAAATACTGTTTTCACTTCTCTGATTGTAGTTTTCCTTTTGCAATTACATGAAAAAGCAGAAGGAAAAGCTAGTTAAGCAATGTAGTCTCTTCTTTATTCAAGCGCCCAAAATAACACAATGGAATATTTCATCCCAAATGACACCCACTATAAAAAAGATAATCGTACCCTACTGTTTAGTGCTTATCCATAATCAGGTCTCATATACAGTAAAATAACGGATGATTAAGCTGACTGCACTTTGCTTTTAATAGTTTAATTTACATATTTAGACAATCATGTTGTAGTACAAACTTTACGGAGGCATGGTGCAAGCATAAATAATGCATCTTTACAGATTTGCAGCAGGTAGTAGGGAGAAAGCTTGTGTGCTAGCCATACCTGAGCTGCAGTTTACTAAGATGTACGTTAGGCTCCATACCTTTCTCAGGTATAATGCAAATCTCCTACGAGAGTGACACTGCTGACCAGCAAACACATTTCTTTGCACTGCAGTCCACATGTGTAACGATTTTGTGGCTGACTTGACTGCTCACTACTCACTCAGGTAATATTTTTAAATTCAGAGCATGGAAGGCGTGATGTCTAAAGTCACGCTCTGTCACGGCAGAATACATGTAGTACAGGCAGACATGGAAACATGGTGCCGTTTCAATCCCCTCTCACAGCACAACATTAACAGCTGAAATCCAGGAAAGACAGCAAGCGTGAAAATACACGCAGACTACAGATTTCAAGGAAGTAGAGTCACTGGTAAATAATCTTTTCATTTTTACCTTCAAAACCATAGTCCACTAGTAAGCTCACATCCCTGGGGTCTCCTAGCTGGAATCGCCACATCATCAGTTTGTCTGAAGAGAGGCCCAAAGTCCTTCACACCACCAGCAACTACAGGCTTCATGCCACGGGATTTTCAGATTTTTTTACAACAGTGTAAACTTAAAAACAGGCCCAGCTCCAGGTAACTATTCGACAGGTTATCCAGCACAGGGCTACTTCAAACCGATTTCCGATGCATCTCAAGCTCAGGTGGAATGGACTGAGGACCAAAGGCAGGTGTCCACTCGAGCAGCCTCAAGGTTTCTGGAACAAGATGATCTCCACTTTCAAGGTCTGGCCAGAGAAGAGAGCCCTTTGGAATCATTGGATAGCGGCACTATTCTTGTAAGTTATTATCCCTAAGAAGAGAGCCCTTTGGAATCATTGGATAGTGCCACTATTCTTTTAAGTTATTATCCCTGAAATGCCTTCCTGGTATGTCAGGTGTAAAGACAAGTAACTCCTTCAGTACCAGAATGAGTTTAGGGAAAAGGAATGCCTATGTGGTTTTGTGATGTAAGGGGAACTCATGCTATTTTGAAATAAGATTTAGCATGGTCTACAAGTGTATCAGGCCTAGAAAGACCGACAAGGGACAGGAGGTAGCGGGAATGAACGGCAGGATAGAGATGGGGAGGACACCAAATACAGAAGTGGCTGGTCTGCACTCCACCGGTGTGTGTCTCTTGTTAATGGCCAAAGTAAAAAAGACCTATCCCGAGATGCCGTGTGGCTGATAAGAGGCCTCCAATACACTGAACACCACTGCTTCCTCTCAAAACAACTCAGACTACCTCTTGAGGTGTTCAGAAAAACCAGAAGGCGAGCTGCTGACTGAAGTACTTCTCAATGCATCAGACAGATTAATTGCTTCTTAGCAGAATATAACTGATATTGCACCATCCTTCTTGTTGACAGAGTATACAATAGTTCTGTCCATCACGAATCGTGACTGATATCCTCGGATTTGAGAATAAAATTCTTTGCATGCATTCTGTGCTGCCCTGAAAGCCAACATATCTACGTGAAGTACTTGCACCAAGCGTTATTGACTCTGGTTATCAAAGGTTTCCAAGTAAAACCCTCACCTTGACTGATGTACATGCACTATAAACAAAAAGTCAAAGAAGGAAAACAGAAGCAGCGCCTGCTGCAAACACCAGTGGATTTTGTCACTGGAATAGGAAGCATCGCATCCTGTGGAACAAGTCTCGGGAAATACATAAGTACATAAGTGCATAAGTGCAGACATACCTGAGAACATTTTCTGGAAGAGGATGTTACCTAGGTGTTCACCACTTCAGACTACTGGACATGAGTATAGATGGGCATCCAAACACACAAATAAGTGTTTCACTCTTTGAAAACTGAATCTACTGGGTGGAGAAGCCCTTGTTGGCATTAAGCCTCAGAATTTCCCCCAGGGTATGCTAAGGATGAGACTGGGTAAGGCGACATTTTATTTTTTTTTCTTTTTTCCTTTCTCTAAAGCTTAAGGTCTTGACTGCAAAGTCATCTGGAAAGTTTGCAGTAGTTAGATCAGCACAGTGATACAACCAGAGAAGGAACAATATCTCACTTTATCTGAAGTGATCTGTGTAACCACCACTTCTGAAGGCCTTCACTGCTGTGGAGAATGCAAGTGGCAGGGCACTGTAACGACAACACTTTTGATTCACGGAGGAAATCTTCAGTGAAACATCATTACGTCAAAAGAGATGTTCTAAAGGGCAAGACACCAGACAGTCTTCCAGCCAAGATCAGAGATGGTAAATCTTCCCCCACATCATCTTAAACTTGGAATTGCAGTTGCAAAGTTCTTTTAAGTCTAGGACAAGGATTCAGCTTCTTTTCCTTAAACAAAGTCGTACTGCCTTTAAGTGTAGCACAAAGGCGACAAGACATCAAACAGATTTATGGCCTGTACTTTTAGGCATGACATCAGTCTCAGAAGACAGACATCTTTGACTGGTGTTGCCAGTGCCCCATTAGATAATTATGCCAGTTGGTAAAGGCAGTAAAGAATATTACGTCATTTGTATTGACACAGATTGTAGGAATTCTTATCACAAAAGTTACCTTGTCTTGATTTTCCCAAACAGTCCTTATTACTGTGAAGAAGTTTGCTGTGTAGGTGTCTAGAATTTGGGATTTGCCGTTGGCCTCCAAACTAGACTTGGGTAGGAAACTGGCGAGAACCAAGATAGCTGACATTTTTCATCAAGCTTAATTAACAAGAAGGGTGACCGCAACTGCTTTAAGACAATGCAGAACAGAGACACGCAGCGGGCTAAGATTGGGTTGTACAAAGCATCATCTCTCCTCCTTAGAAAGTCTCGAAAAACTATACAGTCATCAGCAGACTAAGTAAACTAGGTCATTCTTGGATCCAATAGTTAGGTCAGTACTGGAAATGGTGTCATTCGTTCTCTGCATTTCTGTGACATCACGTTTCCTCTTTCACCACCGAACAGGACCCGACAAGCAGCATAATTCCTCTCAGTCCAAAAGCATGCACATACCTAACTGCCTGGAGGAAATTGTTTGGAAGAAACACATTTAACACACAGGGTTAGTTTCAAGTGCTTGTGGTAATGAACTGGTCAAAGAGAGTGGCTGAGGAAACTTGGTCAATGTCACATACGACAAGAAAGGGGAGAACCTCTTCCATACAAGGAACTTGTACTTCACCAGAAGGTGCCAGGGCTCTCCAGAACCACATACCTTAGCACCTGCTTTAGAAAGAGGGGTCTGAACTTCAGCATTTTCTTTTGGCGTAACCAGGAGAAGCGAGAGTCAGTCTGAGGTCAGTATCTGGACTCCGCTCAAGGCAGAACATCTCACAGCAAAGAACTCCTAAGACTAAACTGGCATCTGCACCTTTAGAGTTAACCCAGTGGTGGAAGTTTCCACCAGGGCACAGAAGACGACCAGTCACTATGACCACAGAACCACCAGAGCCTTCATCCTGTGAGATACATCTAAACAGAGTGCTTTCAGAAGACAGTAATGTGTCAAATTAAAGGGGAAAAAAATAACAACAACAACAAAGATAAAACCTTTTCCCCAAAGATAGAACACTTCTTCACTATACTGCTTTTTGCCAACAAGCAGACACTCTCAGTGTGGGAGAAAAGGTCTACAGATAAAGCAAAACCTCACATGGGTGGCTCAAGACTGCAACATAACCTTAGAAGACATCATTGGCTTATTATTGAGTTTAGACTGAAGCACGCCAGCAGAGCTAGTGAATATCAGACATCTCAGACCGCTACAGCGGCAATCAGGAAACCAGGCCACAGCTCTGGCCACAGCCTCTAAGGGTCAAAATGATGGCCCTATACATCCGTCTGCCGAGAGCGAGAGCGCACAGCAGGAACACAATCTGCCTGGCCCCAAAGGTCTTGGGTCTGAATGACAGAGCTTATATACATCCTAACTGCGAATGTACACAGAGACTATCACTCGACACTAGAAAAAGATACTGAGGAAGGATATCACAACGGAAATACAGGAGAGTCTGTTAATGTATGTGGGTAAAAATTGTGCAAGTTTGAAAATTTTGGTATTAAACGCTTGTTTCCAAAAATACCATCAAGGCCACCAGACTTTCCTGCCATACATTAAGGCAGCATTTTGTTTTGTTTTTACTCGTAGTATCTACAAGTCAATTGCAACATTTATCGCTGTGTCATTAAGGGGGATTCATTTCAATTGAGCATAACAGAGACAGGCAATTACAACTGCGCACAGTGCCCACCAACGTAAAATGCTAGCACGCTAACCACTGAGATACACCAGCTATTATCGCCCAGCACACAGCTGAATGAGAACAATAACCAAAAACATAGCGAGGTAATTTTAAAACACAGTACAGCAAATCCTGCTATTGTAACAATTGGTCTACTCGGAACAGCAGGCTGCTGGGCATAAATCAGTATGATCAAAGATGGCTTTAAAGCCAAATTATTTTACTGCAGCAGTTTCTTGAAACAAAGTCAAGCCAATTAAATAAAAAAAAAAATTTGCTTCAAACTACAGATCACTGATACCTTTAAAAAAATGGCAACTACCTATCAAGCAGCAAAAGAGCACTGGCATTTAATACATTAGATAAAAAGCAACCTATCAGTTCCTTTTTCAAGTAAGCATGCATTATAGTCTGTACCTGGCTGATATGTATGGCAGAAACCTGGGCAGAACACACGGATGAGTGGCTCGGAGAGTTTGGTAGAGATTTGCAGGGTCCAATTGAGAGCTGCTGTTTCTTCCTTGTTGCAACGATCTTCTGAGCAACTAAAGAAAAACAAAACATACCGGCAGGTAAGCTACAGTACGCACTGGAAAATACGCTATGTCAAAAATACAGAGAACACACAATACACTACACCAGGGTTTTCCACTGCCATAGCCTGCTCCAAAAATCGATTGCAATACATCCAGTTAAGACAACAGATGCTGGTTTTCCAGAACATGCTCTGTTCCCCACATGGATGAAATTGCCCCAGAACTCTCACTCCACCAGGTGAGCAGCAGAGAAACAGTAACATCCAAACAGAAAGGGGAAAAGGCAGGTGTACAAATTACAAAAAGCAGTATGGGAAAGCTATAACAAGTCTGTTATATGCTTATAATACCACACTAACAAAGCTTATGGCTGTGCTCATTTTCCATGCTTCTTTAGGATGTTCTCCTTGCAGACAGAAAATACGTACAAGCAACACTGGGCTAACAATCTAGTTCAAGGGCACCTCGGTGTTATTTCTAGCATGATCCTGGAAGGCATCCTACACCACAGAACGACAGTTCATTAGGAAAGCTCTCACTGCCAGTCCCAGCAGGTTTAGTTTACAAGAAGGTGTGTACTCTCTGCTGCTGAGGAATAAGGTGGACTTTTCTTAATTATCGGTCACTACATCAGGACAATCTGTTTTGGAAACCATGAGTTTAAAGTGTTTGAAACAAATGATAATCGGAACAACAAAACTAATAAAGTGTTCCTGACATAAAATATCTGGATTACGGGTGCCACACAACTTATTCAAACTCATTATGGAAAGAAGCTATATTATGAATTAGTTTTAACTTTTATTACTTAGCAGCATGAGCACAGCTGGAAAAATGCCAAATTTATTTTGCAATTCATTAAGAAATTTTCTCCACCATGTAAAGAAAAGCAGAGTTTATCAAACGGATACAGGGATCAGAGTCATTAACATCTCTATATACAGCTTAGCAGACTCATAACAAAAAATGGAGACAGAGCTGATGTGAAACACAGCAGCTTCCATACCTCTTCTACAATTTTTCAATTTAAAAAGTTAAATGATTTCAGAAATTCATGCTGTGATACACTGGAACTTCAGCTCATTCCCCTATTCAGCTAAGGCCTTCGTAAAGAGCTCTTTTCAGGTCATAAAATACTTAAAATAAAATCCTTTACAGTTCATTTGTTGCCTACCTTTTGCGTCACAAATTAAAAAACAATATTTCAGTCTTCAGAAACAGAGACTACTGTAGTGGCTAATCAAAACTACTCCTAACTAAATTGAGCTTCCTTGCGTGCAGTATTCTCTGTGAAGTGAAGCACTTTCCGAAACTTGTGCAAAGGAGCCCGTAGTCACTCGCACAGCCTCCACCAAAACCAGTCGGTGAGGCAGAACGGCAGCAATTATTGGTGTCTCCTTAAAAAGTCGCGCAGAAACTTGTTGTAATTAAACTAACAGCATTCAATCTGTCTTGTTGAGAAAATATAAAAAGATATTTATGTAAATTCCAAGATTATTTTTCCTCAATACGTTATAACACAGGCAGAGATATTGTTTAGCAGCGTAAGCATACAATTTCTTCGCAAATGAATGCAATCTTAATAACAAACTGGTCTGTGGCTTATGTTTTTCATGTAAATGAATGATGGCATAACCATGATTTAGTGAGAATACATTGTATAAAAAATGGCTCATATATATGAAGCAGCAGCTTCATTAGTTACATCCCACCTCCAATAGGCTTCTTATCATCCTGAAAGGATGATATCAATTAATTTATCTTCCCCTGGCATATTGATCATAACCTTCATCAGCTAATCATGTTTAAATTACAGAGGAATATCGTAGCACTCCGTCATTTCAGACCCATTGGTTTATTGATCTGGAGCCTGGAAAGCCATATATTAAAATATTTTAAAACACATTAGTGAATGCAGAGAGCGAACCGAAGGTCAGATTTTAACATACGCACATGGATTTGTCTTCATCATATGTGGTAGGGACCTAAATTAAGACCAAAACTGAATTAAAACCACACATGAATGAAAACTACCTTCTCAGCAAAAGCTGTTGCTCTCACATGAGAGAGGTAATTAGTCAAGGAAAATATTTACCTCTTTCCTTCAATGTGAATATAGGTGCGTTCATAGCATCACATTAACATACATAATGCAGTCTTGCCAAATTATCACTCTAGGATGGCATAAGGGAAAAAAAAAAACCACCAAGACAGTCTGAACTCACATACTCAGATGCACGACCTGAATGACAGCTAAGCAGTTCAAAAGCAGAGACTAGAAAAAAAAAATTTTAGAAAGCAAAAAAGCACAAAGTGTTACTGTAGAGATGCAAAAAGTAATCCACAAAGCAGCTGGAAACTCAACCTTACACAGAGCAGCACAAAGGGTAATTTATCCCGTGCACTGTAAAAATGGTAAAGTTGCAGCAGAAGGTCTCATGTTACCCACTTAAAATGGTGCTACAAATTCTAGAATAGACCATTCTTAGCCTCAAATTTCTTAGCTCTTCCCTCTGTTCGAAAAATGATTTCCCCCCTAATGGAAATCCCCTTCTGAGCTGCCAAACCTTCCCAATTCCCCCTCCATTTCGGCAACAAGCCTAACATCCCCCGCCAGAGCACGATTCCTCCTGCCTCTCCCCTCTCTTCATTAGGCAACCTGCTCTCCTTTGAGACACCAAACAGTTTTTGCTTCTTTCATTGCAGTCATGTAGCTGTCACTCCATAATTAGATTGCATTCCATATTCAAGTGCTCAGGGCTACTTGCCCTTGGATACGATGGTGATACGAGCTTCAGAAGTACCTAAAGGAGTACTCTGACCCTTCAAAGTTTGCAACATATGAAAGAGGTGACTGATCATCTGTGGGGCAATCGCTGGACTGCCAAAAGACCTACTGTGCTCCTTCTGAAGCTACCTTGAGAGAAGAGATGAAACCTAAATCTTGCCCATCAGAAGTCAATAAAAGGGGTTCAAGCACGTATCTCCTCAGCAGTTCTGCCGCAAATTCACATTTTCTACATCTTCTATTCCAGAGAAGAAAGCCCTGAAATACACAAAACTTAAAATGGCTGGCACTGAAAACCCCACAGATCTGCTAACTCCTGCTGCTGACATCTTCAGACACAGTAGTTAGGGAGGAAAAAAACCCCACAGTTAAATGGTTGTGTAGCAAGAGAGAAATACACCATAATTATAAGAACTAACAGCAGATCCAGAGAACAGCCATGCTATATCGCTTGTTCAGCCCAAACCCCGATTCTGTTACTATCTCTTTGTTGGGACTCAAAGCAACCACTCATTAGATGCTCAGCGGTGGTAGGAAAAAAAAATCCTTAAACTAAAACATTTTGTTTCCACAACTACAACTATACGCAAGTTCACACTGGATTTATGAGTATCTCTGCCAGAGTATATCAAAATATATCCAAAAGCATGAAATTTAAAATTTTCTTCCTAAAAGGTAGTACCACCGCCAGAACAGCTTAGGCAGCTGAGCGCCTAGGTGGGATCTCTACCGAAAAACCTACAGCAATATCCGCTCTTCAGGAGCGCCTGATGTAAGCTCTGGCCGTACCTAAACATCTTTTTGCTGTTAATGCAAGCCAACCAGTGTACTTCATTAACCAATTTAAGGCTACTCAGTCAAAACCTTCAGATTAATATTAAAGTGCCTGTAATTGAGACGTCACTCCAGAGGAAGTTACACAATTAAAACAAACATTGTTCTATAAACTGAGCAGAGAATGCAAGAAAGGAGACATGTTTTTGCCCCAGAGCTTTCAGGTTCTATCTCATCCCAAAGACAATTCAGTACTTCTGAATTTAATGTAAGTATACTTGCCAAGAGGTGTTTCTAAAACAGATGAATACTGACTTCATCTGGGGCAGATATAAAAAATAATCAAGATAGTGACAAGCATTTCAACTATTTTTAAAAATCAATTGCGTTCCCTCTGCTTTTATATACTCAATTAAGCTATTAATTTCAGAGAGATTTTTATTGTAAGCTATCTATCTGTAGTATGAAAAGCTAAACAACATTTATTTGCAAAGTCAAGAACTCTTCTGCAAATAAACCGGGATATGCCAAGGATATTTAGAGTTGTAAACGAGGAGAATTGATATTTAGCAAATATTTGGTCTTTGGGGAAGACTGATGCTTATTTCTTATACATTTCAACTTAATTTCACAAGCCAGAACGACTAGAAGTTATATTTCACTTTAAGGCCTCGTTAATTAAAAGCATGTGAAATTCCTAGTCTGCAAGATGAATAAAACGTCCAAGTTTGCAGAGAAAGCTCTTGACTTGAATGCCTCTTCTTCCATGCCTGACCTAGCTCACCAAAACAAAATTAACCTTCCCACCCCCTGCCGCTTTCATCTCAAACGCCACTTTTTGTTAGCCAAACCGCTCATTCCTAAGCAGCTCCTGCCAACTTCTCACTGGATCGTGGATTGGAAGGACCGGACCACAAAGCAAGGAAAGCTCGGTGGTCGAACAGTCTCTGAGCTGTAAAGCAACCTTGCCGCGCTCCAGCTCAGCAGATCTGCATGCAAACCACCACCATTTTTCCATCGGCACATAGAAAAAAGTTACCCGTACGTTAATTTTCACCAAACAAAGCTATTCCACTCTCGACAGCGTGGGGCTGAGTATCAGAGGACTAAATTCACTGGCAGGAGGAATAGCAGGTCATCTCCTCTCCCCGAAACCCAGAACTGTGCCTCTATAATGAACCCACTCCTCTTTGTGCTCCGTTTCGGAGCTAATCACCATTAGAAATACTGTTGCCAGAGTAACTGCTCTGACAGAGTTGTCTTTCCTTGGTTCAAAGGGCTGTTCACATGTCAACTTCTTGTGCAGTGTAAGGTTGCTTTGGCGGGGGCAGCCGGGTCTCTCAAATCTCATTAGCACGGCTTCATTCAAGTATAAGGACAAGAAAGGCAAAGACCTGGCGGGAAAATACTCCTTACAAGAAGTTCAAGACACAAGGTAAGACTGTCT